CTTGAAGATAAAATTCATATCTTCAAGTGACAGCTGTAATGTTCTGTTTATTAAATGACATTGGTGTAAGCAAAAGTGTGTAACATTTTCATTATAAGATCAAAAATTTTGAACATTTCAAGAACATATTAATTATTAATTTATGATTTATGCATGATTGAATAATACCAAAACTGTCAAAATGCATTTATATTATTTTATGATTCCTGTAAAGATTGAAAAATACCAACTATTAAGAATTTACAAAAAAATTCCAAACAATTTCAATCTATTGACATATAAAGATGCATTTGTTATTATTTTTATTACCGTATTTCTGCATGATTGAAAAATTTCAACTGTCAAAATGCATTTAACAATAAATATAAATCCTGTATGATTGAAAAGTCAAAGTTTCAATTTATGATTTCTGTAATATTAGAGTACAAACATTAAATGTGTGCTATACTTTCCACTATTTAGTACAAAATTATGTTAATTAAACAATAGAATTAGCATAATTTAGCAGTATTTAGTGGTATTTATGTTGCACAGTTTTAATGTTTGTACTCTATCTAAAGAAGTTTTATAATTATTTAATGTAGTTCAATGGAATTTTTTTGTTAGAAAAAATATATTAGTCTTGACAAAACATGTACTAAAAATCTGACCAATGTGTCTTGCATCAGTACATCTTCATCCAACATGCATATCTTTTGGGAGCTCCGCTATTAGGTTTTACCTAATTTTTATATTACTCTCCTTCATGCACAATGCCCATGCAGTCAAATCCAAGGGGAGGAGAGTCGGATAGTATCCTGCACGGTGCCTGGTCAAGTCCATCCTTAAAATAGAATACAATTCAAAATCATTTTTTCCATCTAAGAAGCATGTTCCCTTTCAGATAAAAATGATTTTCTAAAAAGCATAATGTGTACTTTTAAATATTTAGGTGAATCTGACAGTGAAGATGACGAAAGTGAAATAGAAAGCGATGAATCATCCGATAAAGCATCATCTGAAGAAGAGGTAAGTAATATGAATTAATATTATCCGCGTAATTATTGGTGAAATTCGAACTACAAATTTGACGATTTTGGAAAAGCTATATTGTAGTATTTCACTATGCCGGTATCATATCTTTTTGAAAGCTCAAAACAGGTAATTTTTACTTGCAGGCTGACGAGGCACCTTCTGATATCAAATCCAGGAATCTCGCAAGATTACAGGTATGTTGAGTGACGTTTGGATGATTGATGATTGGTTGAGTGATGTTAGATACTCTTATTGTGAAAAGGTTGGCTCTACTTTGTAAAGTGTTTTAAAGAGGATTCGGTCCAGACACTCTGTCCTTTATCAGTGTTGTGGCTACAATCGTTTACAAAGTCATTGGACCATTCCAGTGAATTTCCTCATTTAAAGCAACACTGCAATGTTGTCATTAAACATGTTACCATAGTACACAACCATCCAAACAAGACCCAACATTGATGAAAGGGGGCTAAGGAGGAGAACTGAGAAAAAACAAAGGAAAAAAATGTCCAAAATTGATGAAAGGGGGCTATGGGAGAGAACTGAGAAAAAAATAAAGTAGAAAAATGTCCAACATTGATGAAAGGGGCTATGGGGGAGAACTGAGAAAAAATATGGGAGAAAAATGTTAGGCTGGAGACAAATAATTCAATGGTCCAAGGTTTTTTGGCAACGATTGTTTGAATATAATGTCGTAAAATCTCGTCTTTTTGAGAAATTTGATCATTAGTTCATGTTGGGATATGAGTTAATGGCGCAAATCGTATTTTCTTGTCCATAAAAAATCACTAGCTCAAACTACATAACTATAAAAAGGTGACTGTCGCTGAAAGTTGTTTGATTTGTTATAGGTTTCATCAGGATTTGACTGGAATGCAACAACACAAGAAAATGGTCAAGTGGATGAAACTGATGATGAAAGCACTGACAGCGAAACAGAAGCAACTGAACAGGTTAAGAATAGAACTTTCTTTCTTGAATATTAATTAAGTATTGTTTTGTTTAAACAGCTTCACCCAAGCTCAGTGCACGTGCTTGAACTTCTTGAAAAATGAGGAAGTTCGTATAAGGGCACTTGCTCAGAACTCCTTCATTTTTCTTGTTTTCTCTACTGTCCTTCATTCTCACATTATTTTATCCTTCCAGGTTGCACGAAAGAAAAGCAAACGACAAAAGAGAGCAGAAAAGAAAGCTGAAGAGGAATTTCTTTACAAAGTAAGGCTTTTCTGGATAATGGCCTCTGAGAGATTTAAATTACATGTGTATATATATGTTATTTTTACCGGCTGGGAGGTCCGTATAGGAAAACACTGCCCGAGTTCTTGACGTATATAAAAGACCGAAACTCGACAAAAGATCGACGTCTGAAACGGGACTTATACGGACCGACCTATTTATTTTTTATTTGTATTTTTTTCAACTTTGCTCGCAGCCTAGCTGCAGGACACCGTGGACCGGGCAGATGTGAAAAACCGCGCGCTTGCCAATCACAGCGCCTGAATGACTAGGATACTGGACCGAAAAAAAAGCTAGTGTATCAACTGCATTGATCATTGCTATTGTCACAAGTATGCTTTTGATGTTTTCAGACAGAACAGGCTCTTCTTGACCAAGAGCGTGCTCCAGAATCTACAGATGATTTTGATCGTTTAGTATTAACATCACCCAATAATTCTGTTCTCTGGCTGCAATACATGGCTTTCCATCTACACATTACTGAGATTGATAAGGCCAGGGCTGTTGCTGAAAGGGCTGTGAAAACAATTTCTTTCAGGTGAGGAGGAAACTCTTGATATTGTAGGCAGGATGGCGTATATGACTGAAGTGATTAATCTATTTGGCCGGAAGGGATCTGCTTATTTCCCGTACCCTATGTCAGTATTGGAGAGTATATTTGAAGTTCATCCGCTCAACTCCAGATTGCCCATCTTTCTGTTGACACGCAATACTTCTAGTGGGGTAAACGGGGCAGCACACAAAGATTGATCTGTTTGGAAAGGATAGTAATTCTTCTGTCATTTCTCTCCCATGTTATGCATTTTCTTCATTCATCATTTTTCAGAGAAGAAAGAGAGAAGCTTAACATTTGGGTTGCAATGATGAATCTGGAGAATCTCTATGGCACTCAGGACTCTCTTGTCAAGATCTTTGAAAGAGCTTTGCAGCACAACGACCCCAAGAAAGTCTTTTTTCACTTGATCACAATCTATTCCAAGTCTGACAAAAACGAGGTAAATTTTCAATTCGATTTTAACAACATCCAAAACGAGGTGGACAAACTGGAAAATGTTGAATCGCCCAACAATATTGGATGGTGTTCAAGAGTGATGCAATATTTCTCGTTTAACCGTGTTTTGGTTATTTTAAGCTGGCAGAGCAGTTGTTCCACACGATGACAAAACGGTTCAGCCAAAGCAAGAAGGTTTGGATTGAGTTTGGACGATTTTACATGAAAAGTGGAAAGGTTGAATCAGCAAGAAAGATACTTCAACGAGCGCTAAAGAGCCTACCTGCACGAAAGCGTGAGTTATCGGTGATTTTACCAAGAATATTACACAATCATCATACAGTCAATTCCCATTGACGTTGTTCAGGTTTGAAGCAACAAATAAATCATTTGCATTTTGATTTTGAAACTCCAGATCATGATTACAAGATAAATGTTATTGACATCGTCATAAAGTTTTAGAACTTGAGGTTGAACTAATAAACTTGTTAAAATTCCTTTGCGGTTTTCTTTAATTCTTTACAACTGAACAGCCTCAGTCGTATTAACTGTATGCATGCGAACTAAGATACTAATTGCGTGAGTTGGAGTTCCACTAGGTTGTACGACTTCTTTCTCAACTGGTTATTTATTTATTTTTTTGAATAACATATTTTATTCCAAATAAATGCTTTCAGATGTTGACGCTATTGTTCAGTTTGCTTTAATGGAGTTTAAACTTGGAGACCCTCAACGTGGACAGACAGTCATGGAAGAAGTTCTAAGCAACTACCCTAAAAGATCTGATCTTTGGTCTGTGTATATTGACATGATGATAAAACAAGGGGATCCTGGCGTTGTAAGGTAATAGTTACGGATTGAATAAAATGTTTTGATCAGTAATTAGGCTTATTTGATAGAGAGTCTTTCCATAAGTCACATTGAGATGGCAGACTTTCATGAGGTCGTCTCTATCGCTTTTTAAGCGGCGCGCGATGCATCAGGGGAAAAAGCTGTCCAATTTAACGAATTAATACGACATTATTATTAATACTTTTGAGTCTTCTGTGTAAAATGGATTCATTTTTAACCATGCAAGCTTTCAAAAGTTTGTTGTTATATATTTGAATATGCAAAGCTTTATGAAGAGGGACTTTTTTAGCGACGCTGGGTTTTCCTTGACGATCAGTTTGGGGAAGAGAGTTGTTCCAAGTTTTCCTCACTTGATCAAGTACTAGTAGCTGTGAGCGCCATTGGCTTGAGAGTATTATTCATTAGAGAGAGCACTGCATTGAAAGAAACTCTACTCCATGTTATTTTTCTCACAATTGATGTTTCTTTTTCCTTTTAACAGGAACATCTTTGAACGTGTGATTCATCTCAACCTGTCTTCCAAAAAGATGAAATTCTTGTTTAAGCGCTATCTATTATTTGAACGTGAATATGGAGATGAACTGAGTGTAGAGAAAGTCAAGACTAAAGCAATGGAGTACGTGGAATCCAAGGTCGCGCTTTCATGACGATTCACCAAGTTTTGGAGTTTTGAAGTATTGAAAAACCATTGTGGTTACCCCACCAAAATTAAAAGTGAATTTTAGGGTTTTCTGTCATCCATTTGCCAGTTTGCAAAAACTGAATCGATTAATTTTCACGAAATCTCAAATTTAATATGAATAGATTGACATATTCATATAAGATCGTCAAAAACGTTACGAAGTTATTACAAAATTTGTATTTTATAGAACCTTGTATCCCTAAGATAGAAAACCATGTGACACAAAAAAAATCGGCTTGTGACGGTCTGAATGTTTCGTTTTTATCCTTATTCATTTCCGAAATATCCAAAATAAATTTCTTATTTGACACGATCGAATTACAAGTCACCTTCATCTGTTGGAGTAGGAATTTCCCATGAAACTTGGTTTCCCTACTTTTTAGTACCCAAAATTAGAACCAACAAACAGTAAATCATTGATGTTTATACCGTCGCTCAATCAATATTGGTTGTCACTGGGGGCTTGGAAGATAAGTGAAGTACATGCGTAAAACACTCGGTCTCTACTTACGGCACAGAAATATTAAAAATTCAAACAAATGAAAGTGGATGGTTGCTGTAGAAATCATATGTATGGAAATTGCTATTTGCAATAAAATATACAACTTTTACATCTTGTTTTATATTTTTGTTCATTTTTAATGACAATCTTGATACATCGAGCTTTTGTGGTTCAGTTCCAGGACTTTTTTGGCACTGTACTTTCAAAAGTTGCTCAATGGCAGTCATTCAATGGAGCGCGCCAAAAAGAGTATGGGTTAGGGTTAGAGAGGGGGGAAGACTGTCTCCTACCAAGAAAAACCCGAAAACGATCGAGGGTAAAAATGGCTCTGAAAAGGGGGCTGTCGTTCCCTAAAGGTGCGTGAAGGTGATATTTTCGGCTCAAAAAAGGTTCTTCGAGCAGCGCTACATCTTGCTTTTGTGTATCGCGTTCTGCGGGTGCGACGTGGTTAGATATCTGAGAACGAGCTGATATACACTGGTTCGGCAGTTATTATATTTAAGGTTACATTTTAGGCTGGAGCAAATTATGTTTCGAAAGTGAATTAAACTCGGAAAAATAGTGTCACGTGTCAAGTCCGTTTTATGCCTCTTATGCAATGAGGCACAAATGGATTGGTGACTAGTCACAAACTCGATACCGTTTGAAGCAATCAAAAAACAGACACCAGGACAAGAAAGAGCATAYTAAAATTAGTAAAGCTGCTSAGTTTGASAGTATTCGGATTAATAATTACAGAGTTTCAAGCGTTTAAAACTCGAAAAAATGACAAAGAATGCATGGAGGTTTTGAGCAGCGTCCCCAAAAACCATACATTCTCGACGTCTACATTCTCTCTTATTTTTACAAATTTGTAAAAATTCCTACTCGGCGAGTATTTAACCAAATATGCTCAAACTTGACAAGAACACTTATTTTAGTGTGGTCTTTCATGTGGTGAGTAGTACGGCTGCTAACGTCCAAAAAAGTGTTGAATTGTTCAAATTAATGATAAAAGTATGAAACTTGGCAGGATTATTAAGTTCGCTGACCTGAACAATTCTGGATATGGAGTCACCTCGAAATCAAACTTGATGGGGAATACTGAGCATGCATTTCAGGACATGCAAGAGCCAATATCACAACAAGGGGCCGTTTGGCGTGCGCATGCGCCAGTCTGTTGAAAATTCATTGAAATTCATTATAGTCCGGCAGCCAAATGCATAATTTGTTCGTAACCTTGCAAATGCGTCTATACAATGTTTTTTGACATGTTTTGCTAATAAAAGATATCTACTTTCATAATCCGTTTGATGACACCTCATACAGGTTGGGCAAAAAAAGATATCAATGGCTTTATTTTACGTTCATGAGTGGTTTAGCGCACGGTTTGGGCTCCCTGTGGTAAATAATAAAATATGTGTTTAACTTGTTATCTAGGGTACTATTTTGATTGATATAATAGATAATGATAAATTTACAATAA